ATTCCCCCCATTCTCAAAGCACAGCAAATTTGGCTTTCAGTGCGTTATCTCTTTTGTTAATGCAAAAAGATTCCCCGGGCGAAAAAATTGCTCATAATTACCAGAGAGATGGGGAAACTGCATTAGAATAAATAAACCTGAAATTACTGTAATTATGTTGTGTTTGATGGGCTCGGCTTGTAATCAAGAAGAGAATACAGTGAAATGATGCTGACCCTCTTGGGTTTTGCAGCTGCACGCGCACTTTGGGGTCTCTTTTTAGGAGAAAAGGAGTCATTCTGATTATCATTAAGCTGTGTGTAACCTACTGCAGAAGTGTTGGGAAATGAGAGGCAGAAGCTTCCCCCCCCCTTCTCCTCCCTATGCGGGAGAGAAATTACCTATTCTTAAATTGCGTTTTACCATTGACAGATTTATCCGGTAGGGCTGTGTTGTTTGCGAAGAGACCGCGGTTGAAAAAGGCGTAGTACTCCGGCATCAGTTTTTAATCATTGTAATGAGGTATTGTTTCAATAGAAGCCCCTTCGGATGATTCAGAGTTTAATTAATATCCTCATTATGATGAATTTCGAATCAGATATTTGATGAACTACTTGTCAGGGATAAGGCAGAATTAATGAGGGCTGCGGCGAGATTAGCATTTGCAAACGGCACGGCTGTAAGGCGCCGCAACTCAAGCCCGCCTTCGTCGGGACAAAACTAATAATTTCTCCATTTGGACGGGTTAGCTCGACTTGATTGAATTAAGGGAAGCCGAGGCGTTCGAGAGGGTTGCAGGGCGGGATTGCTTGACCGCGGGGCCTTCTCGCGCGCCCTTTCACCTGGCTTGGATTCTCGCCTTGCCTCGGAGTCGAGTCGAGGCCTTTTCTGCTGGAAGGGCCACCCTGGCAATCCCGGGTTTGCCGCAGACACACTCCAGCTATTTACCTCCGGTTGTCCCGAGCTTGCAAAAACTCTGCTTCCTCGCCGCCAGAGGTTACGCGGAGGCCGTGGCCTCTCCTCGGAGGCGCAGGCCCGGCTCCGTTCGGCCCTGCGCTCTTGCGCCTTTTCCTCCTCGCCTGCGCTTCTCTCTCGCAAGGTAGTGCATTAGCCGGAGCCCCATCATCCGATCACTCATCGCCCAGAATTGAAAAATGGGTGCGTGTCAAAACAAAAATCGATACAATTTCTCACCCGCTTCCTTCCCTCGAGCAGCCTCCTGGAAAGCCACTCCCCACCCCCACCCCGCCCGATCCACACCCACTTTAGCCTCTCCTCTCCTCTCCTCCGGCTTCTCTCCCACCCCAGAAGAAACTTGACAGTGGATGCGCACCTCAGCCGGAAGGCAGCCAAGGGGCGGCTTTCTGCAGCTCCGAGCCCCCTAACCGTGCTGGTTCGAGCTGGCACCGGGGCCGGGAGCTCTGATCCCAGCCCAGATCTGAAGCCGAGCTTTCCTTCGACCCGCCCGGCCGCCCGGTAGGTCGTCGTGATCTTTGCCAGCGGGGTTCGCCCCGGGGAATTCGTCTAAGCGCTCAGGCTCAACCTGAGGGCTGGTTTTAAGCCTCGCTGTCTTAGCTCCAGGGACCGAAAGGTCCTTCCTCGGAGCAGAACGGCTGTCAGCTTTTTTGGGGGTTTGTACTGAGCTGAGAACAGAGATTTCACGGAACAATCTCTCCCTTGGGAGAGATTCTGCTTTAACTCTGAAATCTTGTTTGCCCACTTCCTTTCAGTGGAGAAGGAGGGAAGGAAAAAAGGAAGGAAGGAAGGAAGGAAGGAAGGAAGGAAGGAAGGAAGGAAGGAAGGAAGGAAGGAAATTCTCAGTTCTCTGAAATCCGCCAAGACGCTGAAAACAGAAGAGGCAAAGATATCCAAGTTATTCTAAACCGGTTCTCCTTAGAGTCCGTTCCATCCCACAAAACTTCACTGATAAACAGGCAAGCAGAAAAGAAAGCAGATCCCAAGTTCCAATCCCCAGTCTTTCTCCAGAGTTCCTTATCTTGCTGCCCCTCCTGTTACCCACACAAATTCTCTTCGACTTTATTAGAGCAAGGCGCACTTGCCCGTTGCTTTTCCTTGCCTGCAAATCCCCAGCCTTTCCAAGGAACCGAATTGTTTCCAAGCCGCTGGAGCAGGCTGGGTGAGGTTGGAGCTTTGGCTTACTGCAGAAGAGGAGAGGAGGCGCCGGGCAGTTGTGAGGGGCTCGGATGGCTTCGTGGGCGAGTGCTAGGCCTCCAAAGAGCGGGAGGCACCGGGAATGAGTGCCTGGGCTGCTTGCTTGGCCCCCAACACTCGTGGGCCGCACAACTTTCCTTTCTCCATTCCATTTGCGATCTGGATAAATACCCCTGAGCCAGCTTTTTTGTCTGTCAGCCCCTGAGACGCTTCTTTAGACCACCTTTCCTGCCGAAGGCCATTTGCCCCGGTTCCCGGGTGGGGGAAGGACCTGGGTGGGAAGCTAATATTAAATCCATTGAGATCTCCTGGCAGACCTACCGCTGGATCAGGATCAGTGGCCGTTGGCTGGCCTGGACTCCTAGGAAGAGTAAACTCCAAGCAGGCCATTGTAGCATAGGCAAACAAAAACAACAACAATACTATCATGATCAAATACTTATTGTTGTTGTTATTATTTCCCTTCCTTTAGAGCCCTCCATCACCGGTGAGATCTCCTTTTCTGGGTACCAAGGACATATTCTTTCAGGCTGTCCCTTCCCACACCCTCACCCAAATCCAGACCTAGCTAGATCCAGACTCAGAGCCGCCAGATGCACCCCTCCCCCCTTGGAGTACTGAGGAGAGTCATACCTACTAGGCCCGTGGGGGGAAACGCGGTCTTCAAAGACTCCAGTCCTTCCCGCTTTGGTCAGGGTTGAGACTAGCAGGGCCATCACCATTGGGCATCTTTATAAATGCTTTTGCATTATTTCAAAATGCTTTTGCAGCTACTGTGGTGCGGGAGTGCTTTTTGGGTAGGTGGGATTCCTTCCTGGATAAGGGGGAGTCTTGTCCTCTTTCCCACTTCCCCCCCAATAAAGCAATGTAAGGCCATCCTCATTATAAAACCAGACTCGTAATAAACCTCTGAAAGAAGAGCAGACTTCCAGGTTATCACATCACCACGGAGAGAATTTCTCCCCACGATTGGTTTGCTTCTGTTTTACCCCAAGCAAATTCCTTAAAGATTTCTGGTTTTATTTTTATTTTTAAAGGTATTTTTTATAGTTATAGCCAACTAAATGGGCCTGTGGAGGAAGACGAAAGCAAGAGAGGAACCAGAAGCATTTGTTCAAAGCCCAAAGTACTAAGCAATGCTATTAATTAGTGAGATATATTGACAGTGGTGCGGGGAGGCAGGCAATGCGTGAGTGGAAAAGTGAATCAAAAAGTTAAGGTTTTAAACAGCCTAAGGACAAATTAGTTTTTCCTCGTGTTTCCCCTACCCAGGCGCGCTTACATTGCTTCTGGAAAAGTAACGCAATCACCAACTTAACTTGAGCTGGCCTCTAAAGCAAATTATGTTGTGTTTTGGGTTTTTTTGCCAAACTTGCCCCCCCCTCCGCCTTAAAGGAAGGCCAGCGATACATCCATCCATGTAAATGCCGTCAAATTCTATAATGCCCTGTCAAATAAAGTGCTTAAGATTGTACTTTACAAGTTTTCCAGCCTTGGAAAGAGATTATATCCCTGCACGTGTCTTTCAAAACTACTGTTATCCTTTTTGAGCAATAAACAAATTAACATTAAAATAAAATTACGGTATATGACATGCTTTAACCGCTTTCACCACGTCAGATTTTGTGGATCACAACCCATTTTACCTTTCATACCATTTCAGTTGAGATCCCTGAAAATGAATCTGAGAAATAAACCCGGTCGGCTTTTTTTTTCTTTTTTCTTTTAAAAGCCAAAGGACTGCTAGTTTTCTGCAAATGTGTTTGCGCTCCAAACCCGATTGCTTTCCTTCGATCCAATGTGCACATGCCCCAGATAGAAAAAAAACAAACAAAAACAAACAGCAGTCATAATGAGACAATCTCTTCAGTGTGTGCGGGTTGGTTTTTTGAAACAAACGGCCTGAACACAGCATCACTTTTGCAAAACAGATCCGCCCATCAGTTTATTTTTTAAAAAAATGTTTAGGACTCTCATAGTGGCAGTTTTTAAGTCAATAAATAATAAATAATTTAAAAAATCCCCTTTCCCATTCGACAGAGAGAAAAAAAATGTACACCGAGAGGACTACAACGAACACTGAGAAGGACAACAAAAAAAAAGGAAGGGAGGAAGGAAGGAAGGAAGGAAGGAAGGAAGGATGGAAGGAAGGAAGGAAGGAAGGATGGAAGGAAGGAAGGAAGGAAGGAAGGGTTGGGGTTTATTTTTTGTTCCTTGGCGAAGCCCAGAAAGGAAGGGTGAGTTGAAGGGAATGGCCAAGTTTCATTTGGACAGGACAGAAAGACGGACAAGAGAGAGGACCCTGCTCCCCCTCCCTTCCCCGGACAAACAAATTCGTTGTTGCCGGCGTCCGGATGGTCCACCCATGCCCAGGGCCTGGATTCCGCGCTGCTGCTCCTGCTGCTGCTGCTGGCAGGCTGTCGTCCGGCGTGGCTGGGGGGGACTATCTGGGGCCGCCGCGTCAGCTGTCTGCAGTGGGAACCAGCCCCGCCTGGCATCTGTGCTTGTCTCGGGAGCTGCGACCCAAAACCGTCGGCGGCCCAGGGACGCTCCCAGGGCTGGCTCAGGCTTCTAGGTAGAGGGGGGACGGAGGAGGCTTCCTTCCTTCCTTCCGCGGTGCGATTTCCCCCCCAAGACCAAACAAGGGTGGTCTTTGCTGCTTTTTTTTTTCTTTTTTTTCTTTTTCATCGTCCGTGTTTTTTGTTCGTTCGGTGGTTCCAGCCGTCGGGGCGATCGGCTTATCGGTTCAAGGTTGCAAAAGTAAAACAAAAAAAACAAAAACAAACACAAAAGCCCAAAGGAAAACAAAAAAAAAAAACAACACAAACCGGAGCCGGCCAACCCTTTCGGCTCCTCCTCACATCAGCTGAGGCTGCTGCATAGTCTCCTGGTGGGCCGAAGGGTACCAAGACGTGTAGCTGGGGATGTAGGTGCCCGGGGTGCCCGGGGTGGTCTTACCCGACGACGAGGTGGTATTCCAGACCGGCGGCCCGGGCGGAGAGCTGGCCGACAGCGACCTCCCGTTGGCCAGCGCGCTGCTTTCCAAGGCGGCTCCTCCTTGCTTCATGAGCTTCTTGAATTTGGAGCGCTTGTTCTGGAACCAGATCTTGACCTGCATGTATATATATTTTTCCCCCCCACACCGCCCGCCCCAGGAGATGAAAGGTTCAAAACACACCGCAAAGTATAAGCTCTCCCTGCCCAAGCCGCCCTCGGCCCAAGCAAGGCGCTCCCTCATCGCTCTCCCCCCCCCTACACACACACACACACACACCCCATTCCTCCAAGGAATCCGGCCTCGGCCCCCAAGGCGCCAGGCAGCGCTTGGCTGCGACCCCGGACACCAAAAAGGTCGGTGGAGCTGGAGGCGCATCGCTGGGAACTGAGGCGCGTTCCGAGTTTTTCTCCCTACTTTAATGGGGGGGGGGGGGTGTAGGAAAGAAAGCGAGTCGGCTGCTGTGCTGAGACTAACCCGGTCGTTTTTAATTCCCCCCCCCCCTGGTAGGTGTCCAAGGACCGGGAGGGGGGAAGGCCAATAACTTTGTTTCCCCCCGTCCACACGTGGCCAAGAATCAGGGTGCCACGATGCCGAAGACCTCGGAATGGGGGCCAAGGAGAGAGACTAGCCGTGCCCGAGGCGGCAAACTCCAAGCGCTCCCAATTTCTAAACCGAGAAGGGCCCAGGACTATAAAAGTCTATAAAAAACATCCCGAGGTTTGTTTTTTTTTAAATGTCGGGGTTTAAAGCTTCCATCGAGAAAGGGTAGAAGGGGGGGGGGGAAGAGATAGGAACGGCAGGATAGGTGGGTTTTCTTTGGATCGGATTTCTGGAAAGGGAGCCGGGTTGTTTATGGCCTGGTTTTCTCCCCCGACCTGAAAGGAAATTTCTGGACCCTGAGAAACTGGAGCCTCAAAGCCTCTGCTTCCTCGGGCCTTATTTGGGGAGAGTGAGAGCAAAAGGCGCCTTTGGAAAGAGGAGGAGAAGGAAAGCTCGTCCAAGGTTTCATAAACAAGTCCAGCTCAAGAACAAGAAAAGCACCGTAAAGCAAAAAAAGAACTGTGCTTCAATTAACGTGTTTTTAGGGCGCTTTCCCAGATTCGGGGAGACAGATTCATCCAGGAATGCGATAGAGAGGAGGGAATCTTTTGGGGGAACTTTTTGCTCTCAGCTCGACCGCCCCGCCCCCCCCCGAAACGCTCCGTTATTCCTTGCCCGAAGGAAGCTGGGATGGGAAAAGCACCAAGCCTGGGGAAAGGAGGGCGTCCCAGGGCCGGGATGAGGAAGGGGGAAACGGCCCTTCTCTGCCTACCTGAGTCTGGGTGAGGCCCAAGGAGGCGGCCAGCTCGGCTCTTTCCGGCAAAGCCAGGTACTGGGTCTGTTGGAAGCGCCGGTTCAAAGCCTGGAGTTGCAAGCTGGAGTAAATCGTCCGGGGCTTCCGGATTTTTTTCCCTTTGCCGTTAAAGCGCACTTCGCCGCCTTCCACTACGGTGCTTTTCTCTGTCTCGGTCCCTGGAAGAAGCGACAAGAGAGGCCCGTGAGAGATACCCGGAGCCCTCGCCAGCCAGGCGGAAGGGCGAGGATCAGCATCCAGCCACGCAGCTCGCAGTCAACCCGGGTCAGAGGTTTGCCCCGGCCCCGGCTGGCCTCCAAGGGCCCCCGGTGTCAGGCTCCCTCCTCCGCCCTCCAGTCAGTCAACGCTTAATGAGCCCCCGAGCCCCACCGGCAGCCCCCCGAAGCCGGGCGGAGACGAGGCGGCTGTTGCGCAGAGGAGAAAGGGTGGTTGTTGGCAGCCCCGGAGTTCCATCGCCCGTGGGGAA